CTAGTATACTAGTACTATATAGCCTACTAAATAGAGCTAAGTAGGAGAGGTAATTAGACTTATTATATTCTAGAAGTTTTTAAGTAAAGCCTTAGTAAGACTCTATAAATAGATCCAAAATACTTTATTTCTTCTTGGACCAGAATATTATAATAAATAAATAGCTTTACTAAAAAGACTAAAAACTAACTAGGATCTATAGTCTAATATATTATCTAGCTTTGACTTTTAATAGTCGAGATAAAGTTAAGTAAATCTTAATTATATTATTTATATAAGTAATAGAAGCTCGAGGAAAACTATAGCTAATAGCTTTATTTTACTAGATAATAAATCTATATTAGAGAAGAAATATTAAAAGATATATTCTTATAAAGATATAGATATATATATATAAAAGAAGTAGCTATAATACTAAGTATTACTAAATTAAATAAGTAATAAGTATTACTAATACTTAATATATATAAATAAAGACTTTATATAAGAATATATAAAAAAGAGATAGGAAAAGTATAAAAAGATATAGTAATAATTCTTCCTATATAGAGTTAGATATAGCTAATATATAATAGAAAAGATTAAAACTTATAATTAATTCCTATAGATTCTCTGGTATATATAAAGAGAAAGAGGTTTAACTAACTATAACTATAATTATATAGAAGGCTAGAAAAACAAATAATATTACCCTAGCTAGGTAGTAAAATTATTAAAACTTACTTAAGGAAATACTAAGGAAATCTATAAGAATATTAAAAAAGAAGCTAGAAAGAAGCAGAATTAAGTTAATTAATAAGAGATTTATAGCCTATAGCCTAGCTTTTAATATAGATAATATCTTATATATAAAACAGAAAATAATTATCCCGAAATAAATAGATTATAAAAGAATATTAGCTTAATTCTATAAACCCAGGTATTAGTAATAGTAAAGAAATAGTAAATAAATAAAATATTTATTTATCTAAAATAAAAAAGCTTCTAGGAACTACCTTATATAGTAGTATATCTTAAAAAGTATAAGAGAAAGAAAGATACTACCTATAGTAATACTAAATACTAGAGTAATCTCTATTAGAAAGCAAGTATAGGATTTATATAAGAAGTAAGTAAAAAAGAAAGAGGAAAGAATATAGAGAAATTAAAATAACTAAAAGGAAATATATAATCTAAAGGCAGGCTATAATAGTAGTCCGAATTAGATAAGAGCCAGAAATAGACCCTAAAACTAAAAATAAAAGAAAAGCAGAATAGTTCTCTTAGAATTAAAAACAGAAAAGCTAGTAATAGTTCTATAGGACCGAGAAAAGATACTATAAAATCCAGCTTTATAGCTCTTACTATTTAATAAACTATAGCAAATCTAGTTAAAAATAGTAAATAACTATATTAATCTAATAATTATTAAGGACAAATAGCTTACTAAGGCTCTAAGTATATTTATAATAATATATACTTTTATAAAAATTACCTAACTTAGTATATACTTATAGTCTTTATATACCTAGAGGCTAGTAAGAGATACCAGGCCCTTAAGCTTTTCTTTTTACTAGGGAAGTCGTATTAGTAAGTACTATAGTATAGTAGGCTATACTTATTAAAAATTATATTATTTTAGCGGTTTTGAGATTTAGGTTATATAGTAAAGACCGCGGCCTTTTATATATGATTTGTAGAAATCATATAAGAAAGCTGGTTTTTCTATAGATTTAGAGAATAATTCTTTATAAGTATTTAATTAATTAAGCTTTTATATATTATATATTATTTATATTTTATTATTTATACTTTTGATTTATTATTTTACTATTAAGTTACGTTTTGTACTCTAGTATACTTTATATGGGTTTTTGTCTTATTATAGTTTCTTTTTTATAATACTAGAAAATATTAGAATATAATATAGAAATATAAGCCTTTAACTTATATTTATTAACTCGCCTATTAAGCTAGTAAATATTATCTCTAAAAGAAAGCTAATAGTATTAGAGTTATTAGGCTAATAATATAGATTATCTATACTAATAGCTCCGTTATCCTTAATATAATCCTATATTAATTCTATTATAATTAAGCCTAAGGCTCTAATATTATAAGGTTTAGTACTTTTTAGGGAATAGGTATAGTAGTATTCTTGGTTTACTATAATTTTTGGGTTAATAGAAATATTCTAAGGCAAAGATTATTACTAACTAATTTTAATATCGCTATCTAGGTTAATAAGAATATTTAAATAAGTTAATAAACTATACTTTAATTCTTTTATTATAAGATAGGCAAAGCCCTTAAATACCTATTATAGTTAATACCCGTTCTATATTTATTACTTTATTAATACTTATCTATTCAAGTATTAAAGCCAAGTAAAGTTTATTAATATAAGAATTACTAGTAATATATTATAGAGAAATAAATATATACTCGAAAATAATATATAATAATTACTTAAACTTAAAAGTATTAAAAGCTAAAACGAAGTTAAAATATTAAATTTGTTATAATATATAAAGCTTGTCTTTAATATATAGTTCTAAGAAGCTTCTTACTATAATAATATTAAACGGAAGGCTTTTATACTCTATTATATTAATATAATTACTAATACCGAGCTATAGCTAATAGATTCTCTTATAGCTCCTTTATAAAAACCCCTCTTTAGTTATTATATATTTATATATTTTAATTCTAGTATTAATAGCTTCTATTAGTCTGAAATATATTATACCTGTCTCGGGATTAATAATATTACTTTCTAAGAATAATACTCTTTTTCTAGCCGGCTATTTTATAGTATTTTATCTAGTAGCTATATAATTACTATTACTATCTAGCTATTCCGTATTACTTCCAGAATATAAATATAGCCTATATTTCCTTAATTTGTTTAAGAAGAGCTATATATAGTATTTATTTAGGTTAGAAGTTATTTTAAGTATATATAATAGGGTAAAAAGGGCCTAAAGATCTTATTAGTTAGAGAGAATAGATCTAAGAATAGCCTTTAACTTATACCTCTTATAAAAAAGTTTAAGGACTAAAACGGGAGACTAACGGGAGCCAGAATAGGCTCCTATATTACTATTTATAGTATTATAAGTTAACTTTAATAGGGAGTTAATTTCTTATTAGAAACGGAATTACTAAAAGGTAATAAGTAATAAATAACTCCTATTTTCTCCTAAAAGAATAAGATCTTATATATTAATTATCTCGAGATATAGTATATATAATTCCTGGAATAGAAATAATAATAAGAGATAGAAAGAAGTATTAAGTATAGAAATATAGCTAGTATTAAGCTTAATATACTTTATTTTCTATATAAAGAATTAAGAGAGCTAAATAAAAATAATATTAAGAAACTAAAAATTTTATTTTATAGAAAGGGTAATTACTATTAACTAGACTTTCGAAATTATATTCCTGCTATTCTTAGCTAGCTATAGTTAGAGGCTACTATAAAAGCTTCTAGAATCTTTACTAAGTAACTCCTAGAAAATATATATAATAATTATCCGGAACTAGATTTTCCGCCCGGTTATTAGTTAGAATACCTCTATAAATACTATTAAATACTTATAATAGCCTAAGTTCTTTCTTTAGATAATAAGTATTAGATAATAGACCTATATCTTAAAAGTATAATCTCTCTTTTCCGAATCCAGAGAAGCTACTAACTTTTCTTTTTTATTTTAGATCTTAATTAGAAACTAAAAATAACTCAAATTAAAAAGTATTTAGCTAAAAAGAAGCCTAATAATAGTAAGATCTATAGTAAAATCCGTAAATATTAAGGATATAGGAAAGCGGGAAATCCATATTTCGAGAAATAATAGTAGGCTTATTTAGCTATTATATTAAATTATAAGAAAAAGAACCTTAAAAAGATCTTCTATTATACGGATTATAGGGCTATATTTAATATTTAATTAAATATCCCAGGACTAGTAAAGGAAATAAGATTAGGTATAATATATATAATATTTACTATAAAATACTATAAGATAAGCTCTATATCTATAAGTAGTTCGAAAGTACTAACTAAACTAAATAGCCAAATCTCTATTATCTTAATAATATTATTAGGAACTTCTAGACTAAAAAGATCTTCTATAATAATAGAAAAATAATATAGAAAGTAAATCAAGTAATAATAAAAGCCTTAGAGCTTATTATACCAGATATTTATAAGGCGGATTTCCAGGCTCTATATAGTAAAGTATAAAGCGGCCAGATTCTTAGTATTTTTAGTAAGCGAGACTACAAAAATATATAAAGCAGGATACTTTCCGCTATTATTAATTACTTAGTTCCTTCTCTTTTTAGCTTTTTCGAGAACCTTAATTATCTCAAAAATATTACTAATAGTATAAAATAATTATTCCCGCTATTACCTAATAATATAGTCTTCTTTACTATAGAAAATAAGTATTCTAATATAAACTATAAACCTAATTAGTATATAATCCAAGAATCGGAATTCTCTTATATATTCTGGCCCGGAAGTCTAGTAAACCGGATAAATCTTAAATAATAATAGATATAGATATTCGTAATATATAACTACTCCTATATATCTATAATACTAAAAAGAAAAAAGAAGTTATTAATAAAGCCTATTACTAGAAAGGCAAATAAGATTATCTTATATAAGTTTACTACTTTTGCCTACTAATTAGGATATAAGTTTAAGCCTATTTTTAGCCTAATCTAGTAATTAGCTAATAAGGATATTACTTATAGTACCTTTCTAAAGGCTTATAAACCTAACCGTTATAAATATAATAAAGCAATATTTAAGGACTATATAGGACGGATAGCAAGTCTATTCTCCGAGGCTTAGCTAATAATAGTAGAGCAGGTAAGTACTATAGTCAAGATAAATTATTCTAACGGACTACTAAAAAGATCCGGGATCCCGTATATACTAGATTATAAACGGGATAGATTATCCCTTTTCTTAAATAAGCTATATAATACCGGCGAGAAATAATATAATGAGATATTATCTTTCTTTATCCACAGGTCAGTATACTTTATATTTTTCGGTAAGCCGAGTCGCCCCACTCCTCGTTCTCCTAAAGAGGTATTGCTATTAGATACTCCAATTTCAGCTTATCCAGAAGACGATCAGGTAAGGGAAGAACAGGAAAGACTAGCATAACAGGAATAAGAACGGCTCGAGCAAGAAGAACAACAGAGACTCGGAAGAGAACGAGAACGGCTAGTACGAGAACAAGAACGGTTCGCCCGGGAGGAGCAGGAGCGGCTTGTACGGGAGGAGCAAGAAAGACTCGCAAGAGAACAAGAGCAGCTTGCAAGAGAGGAACAAGAGCGATTAGCGAGAGAAGAGCAGGAGAGACTGGCACGGGAGGAACAAGAAAGACTGGCCCGAGAGGAGCAGGCTACTAGGGAGGAACGAGACAAACTCGCACGGGAGGAACAGGAGCGGCTTGCAAGGGAACAGGAAAGACTTGCATGAGAGGAACAGGAGCGGCTCGCACGAGAAGTACAGGAGAGACTGGCTAGAGAGGAACAAGAGTGATTAGCGAGAGAAGAACAAGAGCGCCTTGCGAGAGAACAGGAAAGACTTGCTCGAGAGGAACAGGAACGGCTGGCAAGAGAGGAGCAGGAGCGGCAGGAGCGTCTTGCAAGGGAGGAACAAGAAAGACTTGCGCGAGAAGAGCAAGAAAGACTCGTACGAGAGGAGCAGGAGCGTCTTACAAGGGATGAGCAAGAGAGACTGGTACGAGAGGAGCAGGAGCGGTTAGTAAGAGAAGAACAAGAGAGAGTCGCAAGAGAAGAACAGGAGAGACTTGCGAAAGAAGAGCAGGAGCGACAGGAGCAGGCTGCTAGGAAGGAACAAGACAAACTCGCACGGGAGGAGCAAGAACGCTTGGCAAAAGAAGAACAAGAGCGTCTTGAGAGGGAAGAACAGGAGAGGCTTGCGAAAGAGGATCAGGAGCGGTTAGCAAAAGAGGAACAAGAAAGACTTGCAGCGGAAGAACAAGACTATATCGTACAAGAACAAGAACGACTTATTAGGGCGGAGCAAGAATAGTCAGCAAGAGAGGAACAAGAGCGAGTTATACGAGAAGAGCAGGTAGCAGAGAACCTTGCTAAGTAATAGAAAGACAGGCCCAAATAAAAGAAGCCCGATAAGAACCAGCTAGACAAGGGACCTAAGGTGCCAAGAAGTCAAAACGGCATATAAAGAGGTCTCCGTATATCGGCTTTAGCCAAAAAGAGAGAACGGCCACTTATATAACTTGACTTAAAGAAAGTTACTAATAGTAAGTCTTCAGAAGCTAACTATCGTTTTATACTGCCATTATAGGTATTTAACTTTTTACTAGAAGCCGCAGGAGATCAAGTTAAAATTAATAATACTAGCCATCCTCTATAGCCTAGCTTGGATTCTTTAGTAGCAGATAACTCAATAGCCTCAGGCAAGCTACTATAACTTGCTTCTGACTCCAGAGAATAAAACCAAGCTATTAAGAGGCCTATATAAGAGAAGCAGGGAAAACTTATAATAGAAGAAAAGAAGCGGCTAGTAAGGGAAAAGCAAGAGCGGGTTATATATAAAGAGCAGGAGAAACCTATAGGAAAAGAGTAAGAGGAACCTGTAACTAAGGAAAAGGAAAGGCTTATAAAGAATATTACTAAGTAATAAGAAGAGAGACTTGGGCAAAAAATATCAAAGAAGAAGATATAAGACTAGAGTAGACCTAAGGTAATAGGAAAAGGGACCCGAAAAGGTATAGGTATAGCAAAAAGAAACCAGCTACTTACTTAGTTTATATTTGAGACTCTTAGAGATACTAAGTCTCAAGAACTTATATAAGAAGATCTATTACCCCAGATTACTATAGAGAATAAATATTAAACTATAGCAGACCAAGAAATTATCCGAAATCCTACCTATAGTATATAGCCTAGTACGAATTTTTTAATAACTAATAATAGTAACTTAATATTTGCCTTAAATAAAATACTAGATTATATTACTAATTCTAAAGAATAGATTTAGGCTATTAAGCTATAAATAAGGGCTTGAGTTCTCTTTTACTTATAGCTAAGCTTATATATCTATAGACTATAAGATAATCGAGTAACCAGGGACTAGACCTTTCAAGAGTTTATATAGAATATAAGATCTATAATTACGGTATTTGAAAAGTTTTATATACTTTTTTAGTTAATTCTTCCGACCTATTAGAGGCCAGGCAAATAGTAATAAAGTATATAAGAAAACGGATTTATATATTTAATATAAGCTTCCGTATATTAATACTCTAAATATATTTTAAGAATATTACTATAAATAGTATAAATATAATACTTTTAATTCCGGAATAGAATATTAATATAAATAATTTCCTAACTTCTATATCTGAGAAATACTCTAATTTATAGACGAATTCGGAAGCAGACCGCTCTATTCCAGAACCTAATCTAAAGAATAATAGTTTAGAGAATAAAGAGACTATTTATAAGAAAGTTACTAGGCATAATTCAAGGTAAGTTCTAACTTAGATAAAGATAGTTTAAACTACCTGGTCTAGTTATATAATAGTATTCTCTATTAGTATCTTTGGTATTAGAAAAGTTAAAATCTATACTACCTTCTATTCATTATAATTTTTCGCTACTAGGCTCGCTTAAGTTACTATATATATTAACGGAAGTAAAATAACCGTTCTACTAGCTATAAGCATATATTATTAGTTATCCCATAATCTTACCTAAGAGACAGGTATAGAGACAGGTATAGAGACCAGGGGCAGAGACCGGAGGCAGAAATTCTTGATCTAAATTCAGGTACCCTATCTAGCTCCCTTACCAAATTCTAATTATATCCGAGATTAATAAGAGAGCCGTATTGGGCCCCCCAATCATTTAATACTAGTAGAGATAGGGTCCAAATAACTTCCCTGCCTCTTTCCAATTATAGCCTTTAGGATCGACAGGAATAACAGAAGCGGGATCGGCCCCTAATTATCTAATAGTAAGGGGCAGACAAGCTCATATATTTGGACTAGACTAGAATAGCTTTTTATTATATATTACAAAAGAAAAAGACTTTTATTAGGGCAAGTATAGCTATTAGATATACCTCAACTATCCTGCCCCTAATATTATCTATCCAAGACGTTATTTAATTCCTATACTAATTATATACTAATTCTTGAAATAAAAGAATCTTTTAAATATAATTAAGAACTAATAGGGGTACTACAAGAAGAAGTATAAGTAATAAGAAGACTCCTGCAAGAATAATAAGAAAAGAATAGAAGACGGATATAAAGCAAATATTAATTTTTCTTATAATATATATTATAGCTTATATTATATATATTAATACCCTCAAACAAAAATAATATACTATCTAGCTAGCTAGGAAACCAATATAAAATAAACTCGAAAACCTAAGAAATAATAAATAGTCTAGAAAATATATTCAAAAATTAATAATAGCTACCGACTTCGGTAACTCAGCTTATTCTATAAGCTTATCCATCTAACCTAGCTTTATTATTAATATAGTAATTATAACGAATCTGAGCGCTTATTTATTTGCCTTCTATACTTAACAGAAATTTGGAATATATAGGAAGTCTAGAGAGTAAGAACTCGGTAATAAAGTATACTACTATTAAGACAAATATATCTTGGTCGGAAATCGGATTTTATAATATACTTTAGGGATATTAGTATAGAGAAGAGGTATTATCGGATCTGGTATATAGGTTATCTATAATCGAGCTTAATAAGTTACTAGCTATCTCATATAATACTATATTAGTAGTAAGTAATAAAGAAAGTAAAGGAAATAACCTAAGCAAGGATAGTAAAGAGTCTATCTCCGGTTCCTATTATAGAGGCTAAGCTATAATAGAATAGTTTATTAGTCTTATAATAACTAAGATAGGTTATGCCATAATATCCCGAAGTATATCTACCCAAAGATATTTAGTATTATATATACGGAGTAGTTCTCTATCTATAATTAGCTTAATAGAATACCTGTAATAATACTTCTTTTTATAAGAGAAACAGGCAATCGGATTACCCTCTTTACCGGGTATTATATAAAACCCATATACTACTAGCTACTCAGGAGGCTAATATTTATAAGGCTAGTATCCGAAAGAGTCTAATCTAGATGAAATCATAGAAAAGGCGGCTAGAATTTAAACGGTCTTTAATATATTAATTATTAATATATAGATATAGAAGTAAGATAATCTAGTATTAGATAACTTTAGTAAAGGAGTCAATGCTATAACGAGACTTAGTAAGGGCAATAGTGACTTCTATAGCGGATAGGTACTATTTTTAGTATATGGAGCCTATTTGAGCCCCTCTAGTAAATAGAAGGTTTATATAGTTAAGTAATAAAGTTCTATATTAGTAGGGACAAACTAGTATTATAAAGGGGCTAATCTCGCAAAGTTTATTCTGAGAATAGAGGGGTCAAAATATGGTCCCTACTATCTTGGTTTAGAGATCGACTCAGGCTCCTTATTATAAAAAGTTTCATTGGATTAAAAGGATTTATACTTCCCGAATACGGAGTAATTTTAGATATAATGCGTATATAAATACAAGGTGTGCTGTATTATGAGGTCATTATATATTAGAACCGAATTAGGACCCTCGTTCATTGCTTATTATCCAGCTGCTTTATTCAGATCCCCAATCTTTTAGCCGCACACTACTCGTCTAGCCGCCACTCATATCGTCTTCCTCATGTCCTCCCGTCGCCATACATGGCTTCTACCCTTGATTCGGATATTACTTTTAATATAGCTAAAAATATTATTAAATAGGATTACGAATTTCTGATCTTCGAGATATATATTCAGCCATTATATGGGACAAGCCAGTATAGACATTAATAGATAAAAATAGAAAACAAAACTTATAGGTAATACCAAACCTTTCCGATACGTTTATACTTTCAATCTGCATACGCTAAAGTTAGCCTCAAACTCCCCGATACGCATTAATAACCGGACTCTTCAATGCACTTATTAAACTAACCAGAAATGCAAATGCGTAATGCCGAAATCAATTAAGAATATCACCGCCTTCTTGAAGCACCCAAGAATCTGCTCTCTTCATTTGCCTTTTCCCCTCCCTGGTTCTGACTACCCATTCCTGTATATCTTCCACCGCCATATAAGGCGACCGCCTATATTCTAGCAAAAAGGACTAGATCTCAGCCGGGCTAAACTCCTGCTCCGGTATCTTATTTGCAAACTCTGTTATTAGCTTCCTGAGCGTAATTTTATCTCCTCGCCGGCTCCCGTCTAGTAAGGTATCATCACATATAAATAGGGCATAGAAGAGTCGAGTATTAATATCCTGGTTAGTATACCCAAGCTCTAGCTTTATATCCACTCGACCTGGTCAAATTAGTACAGTATCGAGACGCTCCGTATAGTTCGTTATCATAATTAGTACCCGTCCTTCCTGCGAACCAATACTATCGAGAACATTTAGAAGGGCTAATAGAGACACCCTTCCTTGCGACTTTCCCTTTATTAAAGAGCTTATCTTATCTTGACTAGTCTTCGCCGTCCGGTACTATCAAGATTATATTGCGTCTACGGCATTAATATCTTCAAGAAAAATAATACAATATACGGGGAGTTTAGTAAATAGCTCACCCAGTAAGCTATTGTCTATACTAGAGATATTGAGGATATAGATATCTAGGTCGCAGGCCCCGGCAATTGACTTTCCGGTCCCAGGTAGCCCATATAATAGGTATCCTTTCCGGTAAAGAATGCCGTACCGAGAATACCACACTCGTATTTCAGGATCCAAGAAAGCCTTAATATCCTCTAATAGCGCCGTCTTCTTCTTCTCGTCAAGAATAACGGTATTAAGTAGTCTAATATCTATTACTCTCGTTTTTTTCCAGTCGCCATCCCGATACTCAAAGACAGAGATCTTATTCTTAAGTAGCTTCAGGTACTCAGCTCGATACTCGCTAAAGAACTCCCTCAGAACACTCGGAGACCTGCCTATATAGGAGACTGAGATCTCCTCCTCGCGGAACATTCGGCCCTCTTTCTGGATACTCCGAAACGTAAGCAGACGACTCTTGTAATAGAAAGAAAAGCTCCCATTCCAAGGCGAGTACTAAAGAGGTTTCTTCTGGTTCCTATCGGAGTAATTATCGGCATACCCTCTTCTCCTCGCACCCATGCTAACAAGAGAGGAACGTGCCTTATGGGGAAATGGCTGAGAGGATATCCAGGCGACAAGCATATCATATGCTTCGTTAGAATGGGAGACGTAGACTATTGAAGCTATTGCTTGTCAGAATGTATTATTAGTAATCTGAGGAGTTACGAACTGAAATGCGTCGCTACAAATGCTCCGAAGAAGTCTTTAATATATCTGCCAAAGAATACGGCTAATCCGCAGATATAAAGCATACGACCATAGCTATTTGGGTTACTAGCCAGGAGTTACTGGAGGGCAGCAGAGATATTAGTAAGCCCAGGGAAGAAGACGTCTACCATTAATATCGGGCTCAATAGTAGTGGCTGACTTGGCAGAGAATAAGCATTATTATAAGCAGCTATTGCAGGACGTGTTTTGGGTGAGCAGCAAGGCAAAAGGTCGATGGTAGGATAGAATACTGGTCTAAGTCTAGTGAAGCTGAGGTCGGATATGGGAGTGAGTCTGTCCTTGAGGGTCAGAGGGGATCTGTGCCCTTATATATTCATTGGTTTTCGTATCATTATCCGTAACGGAAGTCCATTCTTGTACGGCCAATGCGGGACGGTCGATTAAGGAAGCTGATTCTGTTGGCCTCTGGATGAATCGGCGGCCTACGGTTGCAGCATGATATATTAGCTCCTTGAACGATCAAGCTGGCTTCGTCGATTCTCATTATGGAGCAATACGGGGGAAGCAAGACATTGACGTAGAGCACTGGTAGCGTTCGGACTGCAGATATTGTTAGAGGAAGAGTTTATGGTATATCGATTATGAAATTCTCCAAAAAATGGAACCTCTCCGTATAGTCCCCCGATCCTTGAGAGCTCCCCATTAAGTTAAGGAAATGTTACAGAGACATCGTAGCTTGTATACAGGATTCGTCGATCGAATAAGATACGGTTAAACGAGAAGCCGATACATACTACGTACAGGAAAGATATATGCGACCTCCTAATCTGGCCATTAATACCAAAGTGAAAAGACATATATGCTCTAGAGGAGCTTAAAGTATGGTGTTTTATTATGGACTAAGCGGAAGCGACCCCGGATAGGACTAGTAATTAGAGTCCCAAGTCTTCGGAAACTTGCCGCCATCCCTTCTGCTCGAGCTACTAAAGAGCAGCCAATGTTTCTAAGGAAATGAAGTACGTGGTTTGCGAAGTAATGCAAGGACCGTTAACGTTCTATTCTTGCGAAAAGCCATAGGTTCCTGTATAGACGGAGCGGCCAATCCCTCCCGATACCTGGCGCCTTGCTGGAATTGGTTGGGCAGCATGCGACAAAAATGTCAGCTCGCTCTCGCTAACCTCTACGGTAACCTCGATCTGCGGCCACCTGAGTGATCTCGATCTGCCCCCAACTCCTCGGTAATCTTTACTTTCGCTCACCTGAGTCTACCCCACTTCTTCGGTAATCTCAATCTGCGGCCACATCCTCGGTGGATCTACTTTTGCTCACCTGAGTCTACCCCACCTGGGTCTATGCCCCACCACTCGTCGGTAACCTCGATCTGCGACCGATCTTTACTAGTCCTCTCGCTCACTCCCACTCTGAACCTGCCTCGTCTCGATTCTCGTTCATCCTCCTAGGCAATCTTTACTCTCGCTCACTCAACTCAGATTCAGCCTCGTCACTGGTCTCGATTTTCGCCCACCTCCTTAGTAACCTCGACATTTGCTTACCTCAAGTCTGCCTACTGGCTCGGCTGACCTCCACACGACATGTCTGCAGACTTGCTAGCAAGGATTGAGCGTAACCTTTGCAAAATGGGGGAAGAACTCTGGAATATTAATGGTCCAGATAATATTATTAACAAGGTACTCGAGAGACTCTCATTATTGAAAGCGTAACTCAAAGTCCAGAGATCATTACAAGCTACTGCAAACTTGCTACAACGAGTACCAAGCAACAAAGCTCTTCCAAAGCAGCAAGCTACGAAAGTGAAGCATTTGGTTCGCTTCGCCTTTCGAAAGAACAGTCATCAAGAGCTTCCTGAACGAGGCAAAGAAGGCAAAGAAGGCAGATATCGGAAACTACGCAAATTGGATTGCAATACTTTAAAGCTCTATGGGTTATCTTATACGACCGAAGAAATCATCAAATTAGGTAATACAGAGTTTGAGCTCCTCCAAAAACGTATAGCAGAATTCATCTATTATTACAATCTTTCCTACCTTTTATATCGCCCTAATATAGACAAAGCAGTCGATTCCAAGCTCGAAGATCCCGAGGATAATAAGTCATTCGACAAATTCATATAATATACACAATATGGTTTCTTAAAATAGACTAAGGCTAATTAGACCAGTATATACTGCCCGACGACTATTAATACGCAAACGAAAATACGATATAATTATATTACCGAACGAAGCGGCTCAAGGTAGATTTAATTATTGTACCCCCTTACAAATAGCAGACAGCTAATTGCAAAAGCGCCGACAGAGAAAGAGACAAATATAACAGAAGACGATAACAAGACGAAGCCGGAATAATGTGAGTTGTATCTCCCTAGAAATAGCAGACTTGAACTGATTTCAAAAGCTTTAGCAAATATAAATACAAATGAATATAACGGAGATGCCTTTATTATTAATAGACATTACGTACGAGAGGCTCTAGATCTCAATAATAACGAATATCTTGGGGAAATATGGCTAATAATTCAAAAGAAGGTATATAATGCCATTAATGAGAATATATTATTCCTTAATAAGAAGAGGAGAGCATTTATTATAATTTGGATTTCAGAAGTCTTGGGTAAAGAGTTAGGTAAACGAAGCAGACCGTTTCTAATGGTCGATTATACGAGTAATAAGGAAGTATAACCAACTAATAATAGAAATATCGATATACCTGTATAAACAATCCATATAATTAATATAATCTCACTTAACTATTCGACTTTACAGGTCCATTTCCCTTTAATTTTCAATATAATAAGGAGGCTAAGCTATCTAATCGAGAATTCCAACTTCTATAAGTATATTCTTAATATCCTCAAACGTTTCCAGCTTTGGATAAGGGCTGCCTTTGTTATAAATGTCATGACCGTTAGTATACTGGCCATACGTCTTATTTGCCTGATATATATATAGCTTGCTATCCTTACTTTCGAACTTCCAGCCAGTCTACCTAGTAGGGACGTAACTACTTAGAACCGAGACATCCAGTATGAGAAATGAATAGATTAGATTAGATTAATGGCTATTAATCTAATCTATTCATGAAAAATACCCATTAATTATATTCTATTTATACATTAATCAGATTAATCATGAATATTCATGAATAATTTGATTAATGCGCACGTGACACATGCACGTGATTAGCTAACCTAATTAGGTAGCGCTCCGGGTACTCCCGCCCTAGCGCCACCTTGCCACCCAATCAGAGGGTGGTGACGCTTGGTAAGCGAGCCGAACCCCAATGATACTTCTAGAACTACCTCGACTTAAGTACTTAGTAATAATAACAATTCTATTAGTAAAAATTAGATATTAAAGTAATAGAATCTTCGAAGTAAGGTGATTCTTTCTAATTAGAAGAATAATTAGGAAGCTCTTAGAATATTAGAACTTTCTATAAAAATACATTACTTTCCTTGATTTTTTATTTCTTACTCTCACTTTACTTATATATAAAAACTCAACCATTACTCCTATTAATATACTTTCAATTACAAATATACTTATTTATATTAGGTATACTCGAAAATGTCTCAGTAATCCTCGATTAACCTTAACTTAGCTCAAAATCATCCTAATTTTGAGTTAAAGCCTCTTAACGAATAGCCTTCTCTTTTTAAAGGAGGCTACTTAGAAAAGATATTAGATCCTATACAAGAGAATCCCGAAGATATTCGTACGTGTACTATAAAGTGCTTAGTTCGAGGGTATTCGTAAGTTAATCTATTAATATATAATAAACTTTTAACTAACTAATATTATAGTAAAAAATAGCTAAATTAACGAATATATGCACCTACAAGTAATTATTATACTCATTTTCGAAGCTCTCATAAGTTTATAAACCTTAAGGCTCTTAAAGAGGAAGAGAATAATAGTAAGTCTTCTAATATTAATTAAAAAGCTATATTTACTAATATATTTAATAGGTAAAAGCGAAGCTTCAAGTCAAGTATCTCAACCGACTATAAATAGCCTTTTTAATAAGCAATCGGGACAAAGAGAAGAAAGCTTTACTATTAATTACTTTAAGAGATTATTATTAAACTTTATTATTAATAATAATATCTCTTTTCGAGCAGTTATTACTCCGAGTTTTAAATTACTTTTAAACTATTTAAATTAGTAAGTCTTTATTATATTTCTCTTTATATTATATATACTAATACTTAATAGTCAAACGCCTCCTTTATATCGACAAACGCTTATAGATGAGCTTAATTTAAGCTATATCGAAAAGAGTTTAAATATTAAAGAAGAATTACAAGAGAATATTAAATCTCAAGGAACCTTCTCTATTACTTTAGACGCTTGGACAGCTATAAATCAAAAGGCTTTTCTTGGAATTACTCTATAAGTTTATATATTCTTATAATTATTAAAGAAAACTTATACTAATATACTTTTAGGCACTTTATAAATAAGGATTTTAAATTAAAATCTTATTTATTAGCTATAAAAGACTTAAATAATATATACTCTGGTATTTATATGCTTTCTGTCTTATTAGATGCTCTAAAACAATATAATATCGAGTATAATATTACTAGGTAAGTAATATAAATCTTGTTTAATTTAAATAATTACTAATATATATATTATAGTATTACTCGAGATAATACTAGCTCAAATAATACCTTATTAAAGGCTTTTATAAAGCATTATAATAAGGAAGGCATTAAATTTCAAGGAGATATTCCTTGTATAGCTCATGTATTAAATCTAGTAATTCAAGATATTTTAAAAGCTCTTATTAAGAACAATTATAATACTTCTTATTCTACTAATTTATACGAGCAAGAAATGGAAGAACTTGAAGATAGAGAAGAAGAAGAAGTAGAACAAGTAACAAGTAAGTTCTCTATTTAATTTATAAGAGATTTATTAATAAATTATAGATTTATTGATTTGGAGAAAGGTTAGAAAGACTATTATAGGTCTTAAATATAACCAGGAAAACCGACGGCTATTAGAAGCTCAGATTAAAGCTTTTAATATAGAAAATGCTCGATTCCCTCAACTTGGTAAGTAATTAATACTAATTACTTATAGATCAAAAAACCCGGTAGTCTTCGACTTATTATATGTTAAAGAACTTTTTACATATATATGAAGCTATTAAAGTAGTAATTAATAGCTCTAATTCGAAGGCTTTTAAAAATAAAAGTCTAGTTTTAACTAATATTGAAATTACTTATTTAAATAATATTTTAAATATAATTTCAATATTTGTTAAAGCTACGACTAAGTTACAAGCCGAAAACTACCCTACTATATATTATATTATACCTGAAGTATATAAAATATATAATAGATTAGAGACTTTTAAAAAGGAATTTAAAGTAAGTATTTTTTCTTAACTTATTCTATATTATTAATAATATTATACTAATTTTTAATAGGATAAAGCCTTTACCGATGCTATTAATAAGGGTATAGCTAAGCTCAGAAAATATTATCCTAAAACAGGTGTTTTAGATAATAAAAGTAAAGCTTTATATCTAGCTCTTATTCTTGATCCTCGAATTAAACAAGAAGGATTAACTAGTATTGGCTTATCTACTGGTATATCTTCGGATATATATAATAGACTAAAGACTGATTATAATGTATAAGTAATCCTTTTTATTATTCTTTAATAAATTAATTACTAATTTTTAAATTTAGATATAAATACGATTATAATTTATCTCAAGCTAAATCCGATTCCTCGGATATTAGTATGGCCGATTCCGACTCCAATGACTTGGATATATATATTACTAATTCGTCTTCTAAGATAGATAACGAATTAGTAACTTATTTAGAAGAAAAGAAAGAGAATAAAAGAGTAAGTAAAATTTACTTAAATTATATTAAATAATTACCCGATATTCTCTTAATATTTTTTAATAATTTAGTACTAATATATATATAGACTAAGCCCTTAGACTACTGGAAGTCTAATGCCGCTAGATTCCCTGTTTTAGCTTTAATAACTAGGAAATATCTAGGAATCCCAGCTTCCTTAGCCGCTAGTAAGAGATTCTTCTCTCAAGGTGCTCTTATTATATCTAAATTACGTAATAGACTTAATAAGAGTACTTTTGAGATAATATCTTGCTTAAAAAGCTGGGGGTTATTTAAAGACGAATTAGAAGAAATTAAAAAGGAAGAGGAAAAGGGGAAAAAGCGAGATTCTGAAGAGGATAATTAGTTTATTATTATAGAAAATTAGTATTTAGGTAGCCTTATATAAGTACTAGCTTAGTTTATATAAGGCTGCTTAATGTGTATCTTAGTTCTTTTTTATTAATTAGATATATGTTATTTTACTTAAATCATGTAACTTTTACGTGATTATTTATGAATATTCATGAATAATTATTCTAATCTAATCAAATTACATAAGTATCCCGTTAATTAAATTCTATTCACGCTATTTATGAATATTCATGAATTATTTAATTAATCTGAATAATTTTTTCTCACACTAGAGACATCTAGTATAATAGTTCTTTGAGGGAGAATGAGCTCTAATATATATATGGGATTTGGATCAATAACTTGAAGTCCGATAAGCTTTAAAAGGTTATTTGTAATCAGATATTCGGCGAGTTCCAGGAGGAAGGTACTATTAACTTCGAATAAATCGGGTAGAGGGCCTATTTAATACTTATATGGATGGAAACTATAGTCTGTGAGAACAAATATATATCCATATACATTACTGAGGTCTATAGTCCGGATCGCCATAGGTCTGGCCTATCGAGAGTATGGCTTATTATAGTTAATACCTAGTAGGGTGGTATTATCAGGGGCAGCGAAGTGGCCATGGGCTAGATAGATGCCGAGGACCCTCTTAGTACGATTCCGAACGAAGATTATAGTAAGGTTATATATGTATAACTCAAGGATTTCCGGTTATTGTGAATTGGTCGGGAGTATATTATAACTATATAAACTAGTTAAAAATCGACCAATTTCAGAGCCCCCGTTCCTTATATATTACGGCTTTCCTCCAAGTCCTGGACTTTTAGAGCCTTGTTAAGGCCAGGAATGTCGAATGGTTTTGCTCCTATAGTTTCGTAAAGCTGGCCAAGTGCGTAAATGTGCGACGGTTCTAGATACGAGCTGAAAACGTACGAGCTTGAGGAGAGGAATAGGACTATTGCCTGTATAGTATATAAGTAGCTATGATAGGCTATAGGATGGATAGAGGCTTGTCCTAATATTACCTTGGCTATGGAGGATGTGGTTATGCCGTGGCGAGATTTGGAGAATGAGGTTGACTTATTTATGTAGAGGCCAAAGGTAAAGTCGAGCCTATAATGCCAGAGGCAATTCCTGTGTTTTTAATAGACTATATTAAGTGCGATGGGCAGAAGCAGGTATGGTAAAGGCGTGCGGTACGAGGGAGAAATGAATCTGGTAATATATATTACTGGGGTAAAAATGCTAATATAGAACGGAAAATAGTTACGTAACGGCTATCCTTAGTATAGGTGGGGTGAAATCTATTAGCGGAGCTGGGCGGAGCCGTTCCGGTAGAATAACTAAGTTATTGTTATTGCTCAGGAATAACCTTGGGATATCTGATCTCTTGCTTACAATTCGAGAGGTTAATGAGGTTATTTATGTACGAAATTGTGGTTTACGGGACTTTGCAAGTGGTAGGGCATAATACCATATAATTCGCTCAGCAAGCCGATAGTGGCCGAGTAGACCCGGTACATTTGGGCTCCAATACTCTTCAGGCTAAAAAGATATGCAAAATTCCGCTAAAATTGAAATGCTCCTGAGTACTTTTCTAGTAAAAATTTCGCCGACCGCTTTAGGTATATAGATATTTTGCAAATTCTGGAAGCCTTAATATAATACCCGATCTCAAGAGGTGGCTAAACTATAGGTATATATACTATGGCTATACGGCTTATATGAATTAGGAATAGTACGAAATTCATTTGCTAGCGTCTTCTACTTGTCCTCTTTATAACGGTTCAGAACTAGACGAACCTAATAATAATATGGACCTCTTTATCTGTTATTTTTTTGCCAAACTAATATTAGATCTATTTGAGATATAGAATAAGATTACCTAAGATAACTATAATATGTTTGCCTAGAACCTGGCAAAGGGCTCCGTAATACCAATACCCTGGTAAGGCTTTTATAGTTATATACTATAGTCAAACTCGGGGCTTATTATTTAATTTCGATCAAAAGTATTACCCCTTAATAGTTTAATAACCAAGCTTACTAAATAAGTCTACGGCTATCTTGCTTTAGCTACTATATATTATGGCTTAATGCCTAACTCTTCGGTATCTGTCTAGGTTATGGAAATCATTACTAGTATTAGGTATTTATTTATAGCTAGTATGATTACTATAGCTAAGCTAGATATTATAGTTATAGACTTTGCCAAGTAGGTCTTTGTATATTATTAAATCAATTTATACTACTAGCTAATATAATACTATAGGTTCTATATAGTATTATAGAAAACCCCCTAATCTCTAGCTAAAGACAAAATCCATCTCTATACTACTAAACTCAAGTAGTTATCTATTTCCCTATCTCCTCGATTTACGAAAATCCTCGAAAACATATAGAAAAATATGGGTCTAATAATAGATCTAGTATCTTGGGTTTTAACTTACCAAGATCTCTCAGGTATAAATATCCTTGTTAATCCTAATACCGGCTATATTACTAGTATATTTGACTGGGCAGATACTACTATCGAACCATTCGGTATGGCTCTATAGGAACTAGAGAGTATACTTGGTTACAGCTGCCCTAATGGCTAGTTATACTTTGGAAGTGATCCTTTTTCTTTATACTTTGGATATAATTCTTTCCGATTACGAGTGCTATTTTGGAAGACTTTATTAAGAGAAATCGAATATATAATCTCGGATAAATGTTGCTATGCTATTAATGAAGTTAGAACCCTTGGGGTTCTATTCCGATATGGTTTTCGCTAGAAAAATGGGACGGTAAGCCCTATAAAGGATACTACCTATCTTGATATATTTCTCAAAGATGAGTTAAAGTTGACTGAGGAGTTATATGGGTCGGAAGGGACAGATTAATTAAGGTCAAGCTATTTGTTCCTCTATTATAGGAGAGTTCTAGCTAATATAGGAAACGGTAAAGGGCAGTTGCGTAGACTGGCATAGGCCTTAAAGGAGTGTAATAGAGACCCTATAAGCTACTTGTATCTGACAGGTTCTAACCCTATATAATTATCTAAGAGATTCCCTATAATACTATATTACTATTAGATTTCCCGAAATATATAATAACTTACCTAGTTAATGACCTTATAGCGCTTTAGAATGGCTTTAAGAGCAGTAATGTTTAGTGCGAGTTTTGCGTTAATTAAGACTTTATAAGGCCCCTTTACCGTTTCCATGTGTATCTCATTGCCCTTAAAAGATACCAATCCCTCTTTACGAGTAAAGACCCACCCTATTATCCTAAAAGGAGTTACATAAGAGATATCTTGCTCGTTTAGTATAACCGTTCCGCAGTTTCCGAAGTCGAATTCGGCCATGTTCCTAATAGATTAGCCAAGAATTTGGAGTCTAACGGTGGCTTCCAACTAATGTAATTACAGATATTCAATCAAGTCTTCGAAGAAATCGGTACTAATATCAGACAGATTACTTGCTTTTCCCTTGATATATTCGTAAGCTATAAAGCGACCTCCGTCGACGAGCTTAAAGATATGTCCGTATATGTCTGCAAGATTAACCTCTTCTATCCGGATTAGTTTCGCCCAGCGACCCGAAGGTTCTATAAAGGAATGGCCCAGTATCACGTTGCCAGCTACAACCTTGGTATGGCCATGGATGAGGTGGACTCTAAGCCTCTCGTAGACGTTATACTTAACAAAAATCTCGGTAAGGTTTTGTAAGTGTGTAGTAGATATCTCTGATTATAGCTCCTTGCTATTAACGAGTATATTATACCTGAGTTTCATTTAGCCATGAACTATCGTTAAGTCATTTTGAAGTACTGAAGTGAGACTCATGCGGTAGTCGAGTTTTGGAGATCAGCAAGAGTTAGCTGGCAGTGGAAGCCCGGAATTTGGTTGGGGGATGTGATTAAAGCCATGGTTATTCCAAATGATACGAGTGCTTCTTGGATAGGGGCAGTAGATCCGCAAACGATATCGATTGCAGAAGAGGATGAGGATATCTATACCTGAAGTAGCCCTCTGGAGAGGCAAGTCATTTTCTTGTAGGAGCCTTACCTAATCAGATTCTGTATTCAGAGCCAGCTCTCCAGGCACGAGTAAGTTCAATGGCTGCCAACCTTTCCCGCCGAATCGCACGCAGTGCATCGTGGAATGCTACCTGATTGACCAGTGAGTGCTCCGATAGTAGAAAAGTGTGGTATCAAAGTTTGGTGGCTTGCACATGGGCCAGATTGCAAGTCAACCGAATACAATTAGGTGAACGTCAGGGTGGTAGTCGAGGCAGGTACACCGGCTGTCCCTTATACTCAGAAGCGGGCCGCTAATTATATGCAGATCAACCAGTAATTCTTGATAATAACGACCCAGTTCAATCAAGTGCTGGGGATGAGGCCGAAGGCACTTCCGGTGATGTCGATATTGGACACATTGAACAGGACGCGAGTCTGTACGACACCTTCGCAACCTCAGAACTCGCCTCTGAGCCGTACAGCGTGCCTTCTGCTCCCGCACAAGCTCAAACCAAGACCCTCTCCCAATCCTCCAAGCCACTGTATCAGACCAACCAGCAAGGTCTCGACGATATCACTCAGAGCACATCAGTGGAATTTGCGCTCCACTCCCTCCCCAAGCTTCCCGACAACGGCGATGATGGATGGACAGATGAAAATATGGCTGAATTGGAGAAAGAACTAGGTTTGGCTTTGGGAGAGCAACAAGTGGAATCGTTATCGGCCGGCACACCTACCTCCCCAAGTCCTCGCTCGGCCGAGGCACTACAGGACGAGATCCAGAATCAAGAACGCAGCGAAACCACAGGTAGCGAACCATAAGAGCTGCGAGACGCTTCTCGATGTAGTACCCAAGCTCAAGGCCTTGAGTGGGAGCAGCGAGAGACTCGGATGGCTGTAGAACCACTTGGGGGGAGGGAACTTGTAGAGGAAGAGAATGACGATGAGCCTATCATTGAGCACCAACTCTCAGAACGGACACAATTACAACAGATCCTTTGCGATTTCTCTACCGATTTAACTCTCCAAGCTATCGTTGCTCGGAAGGTATCTGCCATCAATCTTTTCGTCGCGCTCGCCTCTCGACAGGAGTTTCAAACTCGCACTCGCAAGCCACGGTCGGTTCCAGCCTTCAAAGATCTGATCAAAAGATCTGATCAAAAGGGAATCTCCCGCTCCCAAGCCCTCCCAACCGGCTATCGAATTTCCCGTCGTTTGTCAAAAGACTCAATGTATTTTTTGCATCGGAAACGAGCGGCTTCCCTACGAGCAACGAACGCGCACCTTTAACCGCGTTTCGCACATGTGGGACCATGTCGAGAATGTTCACTTGAGCAAGGTGCCAGCAGAGCAGCGGATCATCTGCTACCACCCTGTCTGCAAGGCTCAAGGATTGGTTCTCGACCACGTTATGCACTTCAAAAATCACGTGGCGAGAGTCCACAAGATCGACCTCCGACCGAGGGTTTTTCCTTATTGATTTTTTCATCTTGCGACTTCCTTCTTTGATTCCATGCTATTGGGAGTTATGTAGACCCTAATTTAGCTCAAGTTGCTTTTGGCTTGGTCGGGGGTAGTCACCGGAAGCATATGGTAGGTTGATCCCAGCTAATATTTCACGGCTCGCCTTCATTTCCAACCACGTTTAGAGGTCTCTTCAATTATATCTTTATCTTTTCGTTCCGTCCTAAGTGGCTATTTGATCTAGATGGTCTGTATTGGATGCCCTTGTGTTTGATGATCTCTCGAACGGTCTATTCAGACATTACAGAATACAGTCGCTTGCACAATCGGTCAAAATAATTGTGAGCACAGACCATGTCAGCCATTTTTGGCGCTGGCACCCCCGCGACAACCGCCCAGAAAATCGGACGTCGACTTCACTGCACAATCATTCTCGCCGCTGCGAACGAGTCTGTTCGTCGTCGAAAGTGCTTGTGGGAGCCATGACTGACAATTCATCTGTCAAGGTGGATGGAGATGAGGGATGGGTTGCTGGATCTCTCAATGTGAGGGGACTGGTGAGATGGGATATGATGTGATTATAAGCCTGCGAGAAGAGAGGCGAGCTTCCACACGCATGTACAATACTTATGCCTTATAGTTAGATGTGTCAAGAACCATACACTGTACCAACAGGATAGCAGTGGTTTACAGAGTAATCGATCCTCCATATCCCACATATCCCTCCTTGCTGATTTCGTGCCTGAACTTGCAACCGCTGCTGCTGCCACTGGATCTGCTGGGACAGGTCCTGTTCTCCTAGCCTGATGTGGTCGGCCGCAAACCCCTAATCAAAACCAACGGCGCTGCTCTGCCAACGTGGGGGGTTTGAACCGGGGATCGCTTCATCCCAATTGTAGTAAGCTCTACGGCGCTTGATGCCCACTCCCCGGGCACTCCGTTATTCCACGTATATCCTGCACCCCATCCTCCTGCGCCCCATCTTGTCCCTCCTCTACAACATCAAACGATGCGTGGCCCGACCCATTCGGAATCCCGAATTTCAACTGTTTTCCTTTCAACGACTTTGGTAGCGGTTTAGCTCCCATGCAATTGCACTTTGTGTCCAATTCCGTAGACGCCGTATTGCGGACAATCTGGTCGAGGTTCGGATTGCGAGTTGTCCGCAGGATAGATGAGAAGTTAGCAGCGTAGCTGACGCGGTTTATATAGAGAGCACGGATCCCGACGAGAGTAGCAAAGGTAGTGACGAGGACAGAAAAGAAGTAGGCGAGAAAAAGATCGAGGGTGTTATATTGGAAGATGTTCTGTATAATGTCTGACGTGACGGCTGTAGATCTATTTCATGTAAATGTTAGCCAAGGGCCTAAGACGTTCAACAGCCTGAAATAACATGACACTCTAATGGAATTTGGATTACACCTATACTTACTCATTATACTTTGTCACATTCCCGTCTGCGCCAAATAATGACATCGTGAAATTAAACCACATCTCCTCCAATCCTGCCTGGATCGTCAAATTCGGAAATAGAATACTCCTCGGCTGTTCTGAAGCTAGAGTATTCAGGTCGGGCCCGAAACCCAACTTGGTGTTCAGTACCGACGTAGTAGAATCAGTCGCATCTACGGCGATACTCAGATCCCCAACGATAACATTGGCAAATGCAGTGAGCAAGCCTAGGTAGGAATAGGTTTGAAACACAGGGGAAGTGGATTTGTCAAACTGTGTAGTGTTCACGGGGGCAGTGATGTCCCGAACAATAACGTAAGTACTTCCCGAAATGGCGGTAGGATTGATGATTGTTCGATCTAGCAGATCAACTGTCTGCAATGTGTTCGTGAAGTGGAAATGCACAGTGTAAGATGTGTTGTAGAGCTCACAAAGTACCCCATGGATTTGAGTCCCGTTAACCGTCTTAGTCCAACCAACTAATAGTTGTTCTTGATTATTCAGAACCGCGGTGTATGCTAGCGCCTCGGTCACTGAACTCGCTGAGAGGGGGTATCCCATTCTCAGACTCAGAATATCCATGGTGGTTGAATTTGCGGTGTCACATTGCACCGATGGTCCAAAGAATTGTAAGGTGTAGGTAGCGTTCGGAGCTGGGCTTTCAATAGAAACAATATCACCTCCGATGAGTGCAATGGATGCTAGCCTGGAAAGTTGGGCAATCGGCTTTTGGTAATTCGCTGTATCCACCGGTTGGCGGCTCCCTTGGCCCGGAGTGTGGTGGAAATTGAAATTAACAAATGTCTCCGCCGCGGTAAAATTCGGTGCCTTGACGGGCAGATTGAGAACTTCCGGCGCGACGGCAGGTATGACGAACAATGTTGATGGAGGCACGATCGTTGCCAATGGAATGGTCCTAGTAAGGGATATCTTGTGAGTTTTCTTCTCAGGCTACAGGATCATACTTGGTTTATGAGCTTACCACGTCAGCAAGGCAAGAAGGGCCCCAATCTTTACCCGTTTAAGCATCTCGATGCTTAAGAAGGAAAATGGATCAGTAGTAGCACTAAAAGTCGCGTCTAGTGCACCAATAGACATGCTTTTCTGTCGAAACATAACCCAAATGTGTTGTATGTATGCTGTCGAAACAGCACTGACAAGGCAGGCTTTGACAAGGAACGTGAACGCAGTACCAAATCTGGTGGCCCATTGTTGCGATGTCTTGCCGACAGGTTGTCCAGCCAGGGAATTATAGTACAGATGATGTCCAACGGCCAGAAGAGTTCCGGATGTCAGGAGTACAACCATCTGAGTTGGTACTAGCCAGCCGATTCTCCAGCGGGACGAATTCCTGTCACTCTGATGGGCAGCGTTCGGTGGCTCGAGGGCGACTGGAGAGGAGTCGCTATCTGGTACCTCAGCCACTTCAGAGGCTGACTTTTCCATGGCTATGTTTGCAATGTTGGCACGTATGGGATATGTTCGCTTTAGAGGGTGTAATCAGATACCACAGTAGTCTTAGGGATAGAGATCAGCACCTAGAAGAGCGGGGATGGGCGCGCGGGGACGCAGCTAAATAGACAGAACCAATGCACTAATACTACATACAAGTCAAGCGTCGAGAACCAAAATGAAGCCACTGACATCTACACGTGTCATTCTCGAATGGATTTCTTATCAAAGCGTGGCTGCTGTGGCTGCATGTACTAGACTCTATTGAACTTCTTCTACGCTAGTTCTGAAACCTCTACACCGTAATTGGTCATGGGAGAGTGGTGATAAGATGCGGCTGGAGAGTCGAATGCACTCACAACGCCTCACGATAATTTTGTTCGCCTAGCGAGATAGACAACAAGGTGTGAGATGAAAAGGAGTCGAGAAATAGAAGGACTACCTAATGCAATATTCATCATGACTGTAGGTCGGACGTACCTGTCTTCTCACCCCTCTGATAGGGAGACAAGCTTTCAGCCTGCCGCTGCTGGACTTCCATCGGTCGAGGCAGATGCTTGAAATATTCGGCCAGGGCATCTAGATTCCCTACTCATTAGCGTGGAGATTCTCTGTGGAATCTACATACTCCGCAACTTGCTACCAGTTAAGCGGGAAAGTAAGGAGCGAAATTTGATGGCTAGATTTGATGAATTTGATGGCGGCTATTAGTTAGATTTGAGCGTTTTGAGAGGTGTTCGAGGTAGATCTGCTGCATTTGCTCAATTCGAACGCTGGCAAAGGGCGGTGAGCAAAATAAGCCTAGGTGCATACGTTGATCTGCTTCGTAGGGGACACCACGTACAGGTGTTGAGTCTTCGTCCCCCGTGCCAGGCGCCGATATCCGGCGATATGAATAAATCCTCAGGCAGAAGTCTACACCCCACGTGCAACACGCCTTCGGCGATAGAGAACGTGCGAGCATATGGGATCGATTGCGTTTAGTGGACGGTCTCATTCCGTCTCTCTCTACATTCTTCCAAGACCTTTTATACCTGCAACCCTGTGCTAACTGCGTTAAAAGATTGATAAGAATGCCTCCGAAACAGAAACATCTGAAGCCGACGGTGCTCACCACCATCGAGCAAAGTTATAAAGGCGTGAATCAGGAAGCCAGTCAAGTCACAGTCCAAGTCACATAATATAAGGCAGCCAGAACAAAAGCTCGTCCACCAGCGCCACCCGTATAGACATCCCAGTGCCAATTAATGCTTGTGACTACTACTTGAATGGCTGATATGTTCACGGATGCCTTCCGCAAACAGCGGAGGAAGGGTCGAGCTGCAGAGTTTCGTGGGGCCGGGCCTGACTCAATCCATTGCACTGAAATACACCAATCACCCTCCGGAGGAAGTGCAGATAAAGTCTACGTAGGTGACTAGGGTAATGACGGGCCACAGTACAAGCATCCAAAAGGGGAGGTTACCGAAGAGGCAGGTTCCGAGTTGAGTGAGCAAGAGTAAAGATCGCCTAGGAGGTGGCCGCAGATCGAGGTTACCGAAGAGGTAGGGCACAGACTCGCCTTCGTCGGCACTGGGATTGACTACGGAAAGCGATAAGGATCAGAAGACCAGCGATTTTCGAATCTGGTTTTCGACCTTCGATATCTGATTTGTGGCACGTGTGTACCCTACCAAAAATCACAAACACCTATATACCATGCCTATATATTACGTCCCCTCTCCCTGTACCTCTATTATTACTTTAAATATTTCCTCTCTTTAATTCTTCTCACTCTCTTTATAAGTATAAGGGTAAGAGAGGGAGAAGGGGGCAGGGGGGAAGGGAAGGAGGGGGGAGGGCAGGGCAAGGGGACCTTACTAAAAATTTATATTACAAAGCACTAAATTTTTAGTACCTATAGCCTATAATTTAATAATTATAGCCCTAAAATTTAGTAATAAGTAGCCTATAATTACAGGGCTTCCTTTTCCTCGCGAGTCGCATGCCTTAAAGCTCGCTTTTCGATTTTCGCTTTTCGCTTTTCGCTTTTTGCTTTCCATATTTTAACTTTTACTTTTTACTTTTTACTTTTCACTCGCCCTCTATCTCCTCCCCCTCCCCCTCCCCCCCCCTCCCCCATCCCTATCTATCCCTCTCTTACCCCTCTCTCGTATATATATAAATAAGAATTAAAAAGAGTGTAATATTTTAAGTAGTAATAATAAGTAGAGGCATAGGAAGAGAGGGCATAATATATAGGCGATTTTTGGTTGGGTGTACACGTACCACAAATTAGACATTAAAGGTCGAAAACCAGATTCGAAAATCGCTTGGTCTTCTGATCCTTATTGCTTTCCGTACTTCTTCCCTCGGTAAGTAAATCGGGAGTTACAAAATTCACCTTACGGATCAGGCCGCAAACCAGATTTGTTATAAGGCACAATATCGGCTAATAAGATACCGCTGGATACTAACTAGTCTTTATTTAGCCTAGTACTATTACCCCCCGTTCGTTAATACGAGCAATTGGTCAATCGGAGTCTCTATTGCCCAATCGCGGGCCCCGATTACTTAATCGCCTGCTTAAGCAAACTCCGGTTTATAAATACGAAGTCGAATACAAGCAAATTTTTAAAATACTAAAATACTTTAAACCCTATAAATTATTAAAATCCTATTAATATAATTTATTAGAAATAATTTAGTTAATTATATTAATTAAGTAATATTAGCCCTAACCTTTTATTATAGTTATAAAATCTTTTTATTATAATTTTAATTTAAAACATATAAAATTATATATATCTTTTAATCTTTAATAGAATTTAATCTAAGAAAGATTTATTTGAGTTTCTTATAAATATTAATCCTTTTTATTTAATTAAATTTTGGCCTTTATCCTTTATTAGAAAGTTATAAATTATTTTAAAATTGGGCTCTTTTATTAGCAAATCGGGCTCCTTGCTTAGGTCTAATTAATTAATTGCTCGTATTAACGAACCGGGTGGAATAGTACTAACTAATATTACTAGTATAGCCTATATTACGGTCCGCAAACTTTCTATATCTCCAAAAGTCGGTATTCTAGTACTAGAGCTAACCCAAACTAGCTTGATTCCTGTATTTTCTTAGATGAGCTAATCTCAGATATAAGTAGTTCCGGAGGAAGGGATACTGCATTTACGAAATAACAAAAATAGTAATAGTTACCGCTTCTATATTTTATCCCAAACTCTAGTATATTTTATTACTAATTACCCTTGTCTAGTACTCTATCTCTGACTCTTTCTTCTATCTCTATTTATTACTCCTAGTAGTAATATAAACCCACTTATTACTCCTCCTCCTTCCAGTTAATATAGCCCTATATTAAGCAAAACGAAATATCTAAAAGTTTGGGTAATAACCCTTAGTACTAAAAGACTAAGGTTAGCTATTTGTTCCCGTTACTATATACTTTAACTAATTATTAATAGGGAAGCGGCCTTAAAGTATTAAGAAGGGACGACTATAGCTACTATAACGGCGGGATTAATATAATAGTTAAAGGCTCAAAGTTCAAAGAATCTTATATATTAGAAAATACTAAGCTATAGAATAAAATAGGGAGGATGCCTTAATCTTTAGTATTATTTCGTCTAAGTAATTCTGGCTTAGCTTCGTTTTATACCTGTTTCCGATATCCTGTCCTTAGCAAATTATGCCCTTATACTAGCCGTTATATTACCTCTCTCTAAAGAGAAGTCTAAATGCCCTTATTTAGGGAATTATTTAGCTATAGTATAGAAAAGAAAAAAGAGGAAATAATGGCCATTAATCCTATTCCGTCCAATTTCTATAGCTTACTTATAATCGAAGTATAGTCTTGACTCTACTAGAATAACCCAGTTCCTAGTACATTCCGGCTAGTCCTTAGTATCCGTTACTTGTATTATACCTATACCCATGTTAATAATATGGTCTGAGAGTGACATATAAGCCATAGCCAATATTGGGACTATTATTATTGGGCGGTTTTCGAATAGGGGTGGCAGATCGAGTCTATTTATTAATATAGGCTTCGATATAGTAGCTTGCTTGCCTTTCTTCTTGGTTAGGGTAGCAGTATTTGGCTTGATTATACTGTTTTTAAGCTGCTTAATTAATTTCTGGGCCTTCTCGAGCTTAATATATATATCCTCAAGTTATTTCTCTATAGTAGAGACTTATATATTAAGGGTAGCTACTTGAGCTACTTTATTATTAAATTCCCGGGTCTTAAGCTATATGATTTTGGTTTTATAGGAGCTTCTAAGGGGTTTTCCGACTTCTTAAATAGTATTATCTACTAATTTGTTAATATCTATAGGGTATTGCTTCTTTAATTTGGCCTTTAGGATTATTTACTAGCTCTTGGTTTTAGACTAGTGCTTTATATAATAATTACTACTTAATACTATATGTTTTCTAGTTATAATAGGTATCTTAATACTAGTTTGGCTACCTTTATTATGGTTAGAGTCTCCTTTATTACTAGAAGTCTTTTCGTCCTTAGTCTTTTCGTTATTGGAATCCTTACTATTATCCGATATCTTATATTTCTTGGACAAGCTAGCCTTATTCTTTTTTGCCTTCTTGGTATTTGGCTCTATAAGGTTAATTAGGTAGCCCTTATTAGTATTGTTTATTCCGCCCATTTGACTATTAGACTTGTTATTACTAGTAACTAAAACCTTTATTTTATTATTATTAGAATATTCTGCCAAGATATCTTCTATAGTAATTTCAGGTATATTCTTAAGAGTAGTACGGGCCGTATTCTGTATATTGACCTGTTTTTGGGTAAGGGAATTACTATTTTCGTTTATAAAGGTGGTTTGGCCGGTAATTATATTAATAATAGTAGTAGCTACTAAACTTGAGATATTACTACTATTACTCAAGTTATCTAGGATCTAGCAAGTAGCCTTATTTGGTCTGGCTGCCGATAATATATTACCGGGATTTCTTGTCTGTTTTGCCTTTATTAATGG